ATATACTGGCCCCGCATGCGGGGCGTATCAGATATTAAGCTGATAAGAACAGATACTACACTTTGATCTTAGCACATAGTGCCGAGAAGCGATAACGACAACCCATTTAGAGGGTCAGTTAAACCATTGACACGGTAATTCAACGGAAAGTTTCTATCTAGCGTGTCATCTATAGGCGGGTGCCGTACTAACCGCTGATGTGCTTTTACAATAGAGTTGGGCAACAAATCACTACTTGTGATTTTTTCACAGCGATTAATAAATAGCAATCACAAACTGTGACGAACTTAAAAATAAACTGTGATCTGAAACGTGATTGACCCAAACGTGATATTTAAGAGCGACTTATATTTTCACTGCTAATGCTACTATTGCGAGTTGCATGTAGTGTTTGCGAAACGTCAGGAATTAATTATTTTCCACCACGACCTAGAAACCCGAAAAACTCATCAGTTTCAGGCAAAAGACTTAAAGGCCGACCGAAATGGACGAAAAACTATCAACAGTTTTTAAAATAAAAATTCCTTGCATAAATCGATATTTGGTTGAAAGTTCTCCCGTCCGGGCTTGCCCAGGTCCATTTGCGGTTGGATTTTTTTTGGAAGGTGTTAGCGTTATAGAGATGTTCTTCTTCCAGAAAGTCTACCATTGTTGAGCCTCTGAGATTTCTTTTGCCCAGCCCGTGTTTGCCTACGTATTTTCCACTGGGTCTGCTTGGCCTCCAATCTTGCAGTTGAAGTCGCCGATCATTAAAACTTGTGATGTTTTATTGTTGCGCATTCCTTCCGAGATATCCTCGTAGAATTTGCTAACCTCTTTGTCTTCAGCGGTGCTTGTGGGCGCATATGCCTGAATTATCTTGAGTGTTTCCAGTTTATTAATTTGGATTGTTACGTATATTACTATTTCGGATATAGCTTTAAGCATTCTTACCTTATCTGTTAGTCTTGTGTACCAGTATGCCTATGCCTCTTAGACTGGAGTTTTCGAGTCCTTTGTAATAGAGCTTATGACCTGATTTGAGCTTAGTGTATCCTTCGCCTCTTTTCCTTGTCTCACTTATGCCAATCACGTCGCATTTGATTTTTCCTAGTTCCGCTTCCAATTCTTCAGTTCTGTCTTCTGTCGCCATTGATCTAATATTGTACGTAGCAATGTTCATCTTTGTGTGGCAGCAGCATTTCTTCTAGGTATTCTTCGCAACCTCCGCCGTTCCATTCTGGCTACAGCTGCCTTTGTAGGGAACTTTCCGGCTGCTGGGGACTGAGGGCCTTTGGTTTTTGTTGCTATTCATTTATTTAGGTGTTTTTTTGGCATTTAAAGCACCACGCTTGCCGAGCGGGTTGTTGAGTTTGTGCTTCAGCCGCCCCTCTGGGGAACAGACGCTTTAATAGCCGCCCGTTCTGGGTCAGACGCTATTGTGCTAGTTTTGGTCCGCCCCGGGTATTTCATTTCCCCGGTTCCACCTATATCTTGGAGGCTTTTCCCTACCCGCCACCTGGGGAGGCGCCCGATGGGAGACTAGCAAACCCACACGGGCTTGCATACATAAAGGAACAAAAGGCATTCGTTCTTCGGTCATAATTTATTGCTGACCCAGCAAATTCGCACACAAATTACTATGAAGTGGCTTGGATATTCTTCAATGGAACAATTAGTGCAGTCGGATTAGATTAGATTTTTCCGGGCATTAAATAGATGAAAGTAAAATTTTTTATAATTAATTTGGTTTCGCCTCAAAAAATCTCACTATAACTTTTTTTGACGGTGTTTGTATACTTTTTAAGTGGTATAAATTTTAGTTCCAAATATTCATAACTTTTTGTTCATTCCTATTTGTTATGTTTAAAGGGCTCTTGCCAGATTCTAAATACATTTTTCTTGTGACGTCGGAGAGACTTTTCAGAGGCTGCATTTTACTCGTAAAGAGTTATTCTACAACGTACAGTAAATGAAAATTTCATTACTGACTGACCAAAAAAAGGTATGGTACCATTTTCTTGAAACAAAACTAAGTTAATTATTGAAAATTAACGAATTGCTGAAATCGACGGTTTTTTTTCCATTTTTGAAGAAACTAATGAACGGATTTTAATGTAGTTTATCTGATATCATAGGTACTTTTAATGCTTGAAAGAAAAGATAAAACTTTTTTTCAATAGCATCAACGGTTCAACAATTATGTACAAAAAACGGGGTTTCGCACTATCTTTAATTATTTATAAAAAATTGTTTATAAACACAGCCGGAAATCTAGCACAAACTATTGTCTGACATCCTTCCGAACAACTTCCAATAATCTTTTCCCCTATATTTTCAGTGCCCAAAACAGGCCGTTTAAAGTCTAATCCGACTTGACTCAAAACACGCTTCAGCCCTGTTTCAGGTACAAACCAATATTTATCATGGACCAAAATAACATGTGACAAAAAACCATAGATACTTGGAACAGGTACGAGCTTGGAACAGTCACACATGGAACCTGTGACTGAAAAATACTGCCGTGTCGAAAATACTGGTTTGTGTCCATGATACAATGCATACAAGGTAGGATATTAATCTGTCGAAAACTCGATTTTTGTGCGCACATGACGTCGCTGGTTACCACTTTGGTAAAGTGAACAGCTGATCCCATTTAAAATGCATGTAACTTAGACAAATTTTCACTGAATTCAAAACGCAATAGTTCAAAAATGGAAAGTTATATGAGGATATGGTTTGCAGGAAAATCGCGTTTGGGACCTGATTTAGGCTTATTGGGAAGAAAAATACTCTAAATAGTTCTTTACAAAATCTCTGATTTTCAGCGTTTTAGCGTGCTGTGTTGTCAGAGTGTCATTTGAGAAATCGGGTTGAGCCAAACGAAATAATGAATTAATTGTATCACAATGAATGAATGCACGGTTCATACAATGAATTGATTGTATCATACAATGAATTCATTGTCGTACAATGAATTCATTGCAGCATGGGATCAATGCGTTTGGGCATGTTTGGGAATTTTGTAGACAAAACTGAGCATTTTGCGTTTGGTAGTTGGAAAGTGTACTCTAGATTGTTTGCTACTTTTAAGTRTCGGTTCARAAATATAAAAAATGCGGTGTGCAGTCRTTTCATTTGTATTAAAATTTACATATCATCCGCGGCACCACAAACCGCATATTCCGTCGTAAATAATAGGAAAGTAACATTGGGTCATTGTTTGAACTTCCGTCCCGTGAATCGTAATGTACTATTTCTGCAAGGACACATTTTCAGCTAACGCTATACTCTATTGCACAACTGGCAACTGTGGTAGTGTGCAAAATAAATACATTTTCGTTACTTTTAATTTTCAAGTGTAAAATCTGCTGCAAAGCATCTTGTAGTTATAAGGAGGATTTATAAAAAAATAATTAAATGTGACAAAGACTAAATAAGCTATATTTAATCACATTTAGCAGACAGGAAAAAAGCACGCTAGGCAGTGATTTCCACGGACGTCACGCAAATCGACGCAAGATCCTACCTTGTATTCATTGTATCATGGTTTGTGTCATCCTTATTTGTGTGGATACAGTGCTTCGGTGCGCGCATCGTCTGACGTCAGCTACTGGTCTAGATTAGTGTTCTGGTCTAGATTAGTGTTCATAAATAGTAGCATTTTGGTTTTGGCGGCGCTAAGGCGATTTCTTCTATCCGTTAAAATTATTCCGGCTTTAGAGAACAGCTGTTCGCAAAACACAGATGTCGCGATTGCACTAAGGCGTTCTTGTACCACTATTGCTAATAGTGGGAACAAACATTTATTTTCACTCCACCATTCTAGTCGATCTTCCTTTCGAGGGAGAAAGTCGCAATTACAGTGGCGACAATGGTAGTCAGGTTTTCTATTGGTTAAGGCCTTCACGTAATTAAATTCGCCATTTTGGTGCAGAAATTATGTTATTCACTATGCAGACTATGAAGCTACAGTGGCGACAATAGGGCCAAAGCTCCTCCCATTCGCCATTATGGGTCGAATCAACTTGGCACCAACATATTTTGCATTGATCTGGATGGCTCAAGTCTAATTTGAAATAATTGCCATAATATAAAACATTTTGCGATTAAATTAGTATCCAGGTTTAAACATAAGTTTGTCTATATAAAATGCTTTTCTTTGAGAGTTAAGTCAGCTGAATCGAGATGCAATTCAGCACGTAATTAGAATTGTTCTCAGCAATGGAAATTTAGGTTAGGTTTAGATTCGTTCCTCGTTATAAATCAAACGTTTGTTTTCAAGCGAGCGTAAAATAGACCCACTTGTAACCATAATTGGGTAATGTTTATTGTCTAGGTCCCAGGTATTAAAACACACACAACAAACATTATAAGACATTATTTGGCTTTATTCAATAAAAACATACACATAATTATTTTCTATTTCATATTTTCTAACGCTTGACGCGAACAGTTGACTACAAATAAGCACACGATTTGCAAATGTAACATAATCGAAATTTGTATGAGAAACACATTACACATTTTATTTTATCGATTCTCATTGATAAATGGCGGGTTGTTCTGCCATTGGATGCACTAACTCTTCAGAAAAGGGATTTCTTATGAGGCGTTTTCCTAAAGATCTTCAGCGTAGGAGACAATGGGGGATTAAAATGAAACGAGCTAATTGGGTGCCAACAGATTCATCAAAGATATGTGAGGTAAGTGTAGTAGTAGGTAACATGTGTACTCTTAAGTTGCTTTATTTCTACAATTGTTCAAGTTTTCCGGGCTGTAGGTATTTCAAATTCTAATAGAAAATAGTTTTCTGGGTTTCAGTCATAGGTATAGATATGTATTTCGTTATTACAATTTAATTCGTTCTTAATACGTTTCGGTGTGTTTTCTTTCCACCATCATCAGTTCGTCTAAAATAAAAGACTGTTAAAATATCCTGTCATCAATTTGAAAATTTTTTTGGGTTTTTAAAAAACTATCACACACAACATTTTTGTTGTCACAGCATATGAGGTTACACATTAAAATTTACTAAGATTATTAATTACTCAAACATTTCAAAATCATCAAGACTAAAAAGTAAGGAGTCAGAAGTACAATGTTCGGGAAATAACGAACGGGAATGAAGAATTCCACCCACTTAAGTTTTAAATTATTTTTACTTACTTTTGTAGATAGTTGTTGCTACGTTAAGTTTTGRATCTATATTGGTATATTAATACTTGTCCATTTCGAAACAAGAAGACGAAAAAAACTGTTTATATTTATTTCTTTTCCTTCAGACATTTTTTCCTTRCATTCTGAAGTTTACCATTTTTAAGTAACATTTTTGATATGCATACTTTTTTGTATCTGATCTAAAATTCGTGGCATTGTTATATTATGTTAATTTGTATTATTTCATAGACTTTGCTCTTATTATAATTATTTTCATTAATTAGTATTTGTGTATTGTCAAAATCAAAATGATGTAACATTTGATGTGTATATTGTGCTACTGCTATTCCATTTTCGTTACTTTTCCCCCAGCTATATTTATGTTCGAATATTSTTTTCTGTTAATATTGTCCGGTTTYACTCATGTATGTGTTATCACAGTTAAAGCAGTCTATTTTCTATACTACATTGGGCATGTCAAATTTATCTTTTTTTTTTCTCTTTGGAACATATTTATTTTCAGCTAAGTATACAAACTTCTTACTGTTACTTAATCTCATCAAATTTATCATTATGGTTTAAATTTTGTGAAACATTCATTTGCTGTTGTTTTTAGTTTTCTATGTTGACCTTATGCGCTTTGAAATCAACATAGCAGAATAAAATATGGTATGGTATGGTTTTTTCAGATACATTTTGAAGCAGAAATGTGGGAAAAAACTAGAGTTGATGGGTCCAGAAAGTTAAAAAGAAATGCCGTGCCTACTATTTTTCCTTTCACAAAGCCGAAGAAAATCAGAAAAGCTCCTACTCTAAGAACTACACCGACCCGAGAGGCAGACCAGCATACAACCCGTACTACTTCACCCTGCTGCAGTACAAACATCCAAGAACTAAATGTAAGCACCCTTGAACATCCTTCCCCTTGCTTCACTGTTAATTGTGATCCTGAAATTAATAGTGCAAACTCGAGCCCTCGAAATTTAAACATTACTCAGTAATGGTTTTTTTCGGTGAGGTTTGGGAAATGCTCTTTTATGCACTCTCAGAGGTCTGTCGCTCAGGGTGGTGTGGGACTCCAGCTAAGCTGTTTACCCACTAATACCCTTTCCTCACCGCCGAGGTGGTGTTTAGCCTTGCACCGCAGTAATTTCTGTCCTATTGTGCCCTCGTAATTTTACTCATTATCCCTGTATATTCAATGAATTCCAAAATAATCTTGAGGGGAATTCGCATGATCTGGTCTGGTGGAATTTCATCCCCTCCCAGGAGTCTTCGTCTACCTGTTGCATATGACGTGCAGTGACACATAATATTCAGAGTAGTTTCGTTCTCTAATTTGCAACCCCTGCAGGTAGGTTGATCGCTCAGTCCCATCCTGAAGAGGTGTTTTTTGCAGGGGGCGTGTCCTGTTTAAAAGGCCACTATCCTTATTTTTTGCCTACTGAGATCTAGCAGTTCATTTTTACGTACAGGTTGTGGAGGTCCCACCACGCAGGATTTTCCCATTTGGTAGGCATATTGGTTCTGGTGTAGAGGACTTCTAGTAAGAACCTCTTCCCTGATATGTCTGTTGATCAGCTTTTCTAGTGTTTTGAGTATGAGGATGTTAGGCTGATCGGGCGAAAGGATTTGGCCTGGGCATACCTAGCCCGCCCTGGTTTTGGAATGAACACAGTAATGGTTACAACCAGGGTGGCCAACTTTTCAAACGCGTATTACCGTACAAGCCATTTGAAAATACCGTACTTTACCGTACCAGAGATTTTGAACCAGAAATGTCCAGAAAAACAAAAAAGATCTTCAATCTGGGCTGAGGACATGGCTTGTGACCAAAAAAGAAAAGGTCCCCCTATAGTGGGACATAGTGAGATATAGGTATCAGACATGAAAAGAGCCTTCGCACTGGTTAAAAGCAAGGTCCCATGATATTTACCGTACAATACCATACAAAAATACCAAAATACCGTACAATTTGCGTACGGTAACGCGTTCGGGACCTACGCCGTATAATTGCTCAAATTAACGTACGAATGGCCACCCAAGTGGGTCTATTAAGGTGCGTCCAGACCGCAGCGCAATACCGCGCCAAACATTCGCGGACATTGCAAATTTCAAGAAATATGACTAATTAGGATGATGTCCTGTTCACGAACCAGCAAAATCGCGAAAATGCGCGCGCGAACAAATATGTTCCGGTTGATGTCGGTGCATCAAAGAAATGTTCGTGTTCGGGCAAATTTAGTTTGGACGCTAGTAGCAGTTTACTATGCGCGCCTGTGCGAATCTGACGAAAATGACAAACTGGGATCACCAGAAAATATTACATCTGATAAATTTATATGAAAATCAGCGTGAATTATAGGATTGCGGTAATAAAAATTAAATTAAATTTAAAATTAATTTAATTTTGAAATTTTTTTTGTATGGGAGTCTTTATTGCAATGTTGTTCCATTTAATGTTACCTGAACTTCAATCCTTGTGTGGGGTTGCTAGTCCTCCTACACTCTTACCCCCGACCATACAACCAGCCGAAGTACCGTATGAAGCAGTGGATCGTTTGCGCATCTTGTATCTTGTATAATACAACAAGCAAGGAAAAGATAGTGAGTTTCCTAATTAGAGTATCTTTGTCCTAGTTCTTAGTTATATATAGATTTTGGAACCGAAATGAAGCGAAAAATCGGACCGAATTGGAAATTATTTTCTAAACCGGAACCGTAAAGAACCCAAAATTTTAAATTTTGCCTTGGACCGGAACCGGAACGGAACAGTTATTTCGTTTCGGTYCGGGTCCTTGCTTCTGCTCTGAAATATACGGGTTGTCCAATAACGCCTATTCACTCTCTTTTTCCTTTTAGATAAATCACACAAAACTATGAAAGCGGCCGCTGAAATTTTAGCATCATCCATGATGAACAGCACATTTATTTCGCCGCGCAAGCTGGAACCTTGGCAAATGCAAACATTTTCAATTATTGTTGCAACRATGTAGGCRCAAGACGCAAATTGTGTGTGAACGTTCGCGAATGTTTGGAATGTTTGGCGCGGTATTGCTCTACGGTCTGGACGCACCTTTATACGCTCGCTTAAAAATAAAYGTTTGATCTAKAAYGAGGAACGAACAAGACTGAAAACCTAAACCTAACCTAAATTTCCATTGCTGAGRASAATTATTTTTACGTGCTGAAATGCATCTCGATTCAGCTGACTTTCAAGGACAACTCTCAAGGAAAGGCATTTTATATAGACAAACTCATCTTTAAAGCTGRTTACTAATTTAATTRCAGAATGTTTTATATTATGGCAATTATTTCAAATTAAAGAAAGAGACCTGAGCAMTGCAAAATATGTTGGTGCGAAATACGCTCTATTACTCTGACGACAGACGATGCKCGCGCCGAAGGACTGTATTCACACAAACGAATTGTCGTATCTTATTAGKRTTAGACCTGTTTCATTCTGTATTTTTCTAGAAATCTGCAGGKTCTAAGCATTAATATTAGAAAAAAAGGAAGTACCGCTATCGTTAGCAACTATTTTGTTCACTACATTAGATACATCGTTCTTACTTTTTCTTAAATTAAACATTTTTCAACATGCAGGTTATGTTTTCTAACAGCTGATTGCTGTTGAATACGAATGTGTACATGCCTTGCAGACAATTTGTCGATTAAAAACACATCCCGACCTATTAGTTCCTCGATTCTAATGATAAGTTAACATTTTAAGTGTCTGCAGATCACGTCGTTTTTTGCTGTAGCGGATTGCTTCAAAGAAGACTGTGCATAGTTAAAGAAGGGTGAAAACTCTTAAGAGAGAGGCAATGTCATTGAGCTAGTGTTCTCTACCTAAGACTTTCCTGCTTGACTTAAAGATGTGAGAGCCAGTATGAAAAAGAAAAATTACTGTGTATTACTGTAATTCTGTATATTTTTGACTGTGAAACATTAAAACTAAGAGATAACGTTTCATGAGAGTTATGAGTAACTGATCTTGCTTAGTAAGTTTTTCAACTTTCCAGTCATAATAACAAACTACTTATATCTTCGAGTAATGCAAACAAACATTTAAATATTGCATAAGTAAAATTTATATATTTAAAAATGCATAAATACTAAGATGCCATTTCATTTTATACTTTCAATTGAAAAACGTTCAGATAAATTGTGAAGTCCCAGTAACACTTCCTGTAGTTGTTGGCGAAAATCATTTTCAGCATAAATCCGTGCTGTACATATAAAGGTTTCAGGAATATCTTCAGTCGAAGTCGAAGGTTGTGGCTCAGTTTCAGGTGTGAAAGTTATATATATGTGCATGTCGATTATATATAAATTACAGGAATATGTAGTTACTTTGTGTTCAAATGGTCGCTTGGTGTTTCTGCTACAGCAGATATTTTCCTTTTGCTCAGTTTTCGGGACTCCGATACTTTAACTATTTTGCGACAAGGTACTGTAATAAGGCCATGACCTGTATATGGCCCTTTTAATTATTCCCATCAAGAAAATGACAACTGTATACAAAGGCACTAGGATCTAAAGAGTTCTCCTTTAAATAATTTTCAAGTTTAACATACGGTTCACAATTAACAATATAAGATTTACTAACCGTACCCACTTGATCCATCGATTTCAAGTGGGTGGGTGTTTTGGAMACCGGAAMAACGAACATTTTCACGATCATCATAATTTTTATATTCAGGAGCACAACATTTAACCATTATTCTATAACATTTAAATACGAATAACAAGTTTTAAGAGAGTTACTAATACGGAACGTGCTATCCGTTCACATCAAGTTTCAGGTTACCAAGACATTTTCGTCGAAAATAAAGAAAACCGCTAATTATTACGATATGATTTCGATGTAGAATCGTTACTAAGCCACTCCTAAAGGCAAATACATATATATAGAATGCTTCTTTTTCTTCACTGTTAAGATAATCAGCACACTTTGGAAACTTATAAATACAATCCCTGAATATGTCTAATTTGTGACGTCACTACTTATGAAGCGTGTTATAGTTGAGCAACAAATCACCTGTGATTTTCCACAATCACAATCACAATCGCTGGGACCAGCCTATAAATAAACCGTGACTTACACCGTGATTAAGCAAAACGCGATTTTAAAGAGCGACTGATACCTAAATTCCCTGCTGGCGCTGCTATTGCGAGTTGTGTGACGTGATTTTATGTTGCACATGTGGAGCGACGAAAGAACGAAACCAAATAAAATTCTTTAGTTCGTTAATGGGTTGCAGCTGGCACTCACAGGTTCGCACTAGCCTGTGACGTTTTTCGGGAACTTCTTAAGTATTCATTCGTTCTATTCGCATTGTGTTTCCTTAAGCTGTTTGTGAATTTTCTTTCTTAAACTGTTCATCATGTCTGGCGCTAAGCGACGAAAAATTAGTTTTTTGTGGAATTTCTTCGAGGCAATAGATGATGCTTTTGCGAAATGCAATTCATGCGAAGCAAAATTATCGTACAGAACGAGTACGTCGAATCTGAAGCGGCACATGGAGTGCAAACATTCCATAATATTAACAAATTCGGAAAAATTTCCCGAATATATTGAGGTAAGTTTTTTTCAGTAAAAGTAAGAAAAAAATAAAAGAGCAGGCAGTAGTTCAAGGCACGACTTGTTTTGCGCGGGCTACGCACAGCCATCGTTGCCAGACTAAGAACTTCGAAAGCAGTAGAATGGATAGAAAAAAAATGGTAGATAATTTAATGTCCCTAAATTTCTGTTTTTCGAATTTTTTAAGTGGTTTTCAAAGGTAATTTTGAAAAAAGAACAAACAAGATATTTGATTTGAACAAAATATTTAATTTAAATAACTTAATTTGGATAAAATAAAAAGAAAATAACCCAGTTTTACTACTTTGTGGAAACTTGTCAAATGAGAAGATATATAGAAGATAAGATATAGAGAAGGTAGCATAGCTACCAAAACGGGCTTCAGGTGAAAGAATATTTTCGAAAAGTTCCTACAAAATAGTAAAATTCGATTATTCTATGTTTTTTTGTCTTGGGTTCCAACCTTAAAGAATAGTGATAATATGAAAAAATAATCATTGCTTTGTACATAAGTTTAATCTATCTAAAAAAATACATCATGGCAATAACATTTAAAAAAGTATATCATAATTTGATAAAAAAAATTATATTTTATTTTTTCAATTTATTCGCCAATTTTTTCAATTTAACCACCTCGATTGCTTTGCCCCTATTTATTCAAATAATCCCACACTCAGATTTTAGCATTGGGAGGAGTTTGAGTTGGGAAGAGTTGAGATTCTTACAATGGATTGCATAATTTCGGAGAGTAACACACCTGTGTTACACATGTTACTAGAGAACAGTCGAACGGCCGAAACAGTCGAAATGTGACCTTACACTAGTGAAAATATTAAAGCTATTTCTGCTTATTTCAATACTTACATACTAGAGGTGGATACATACTAGAGTGTGATAAACGGTTATTTTTCTGGAACGTGTTACAACATTTCATTTTCAACTTGGTAATAGGTTTCAAAATGCGGTTCCAAAAGGAACATGTTACCTTTGACATTTTTCATTAAAAATGCATAGTGAAGATGATCGTAGAAATAGTGATGATATATAATGATTTCCTTTATTAAAAACATGATTCTTAACATTGGTAAACTTAAAATAAAACATCCTAAAATCAAAAACAAAACATACGTCCGAGGTAACTACTTAAAGAACAAAAAAAACTGATAATAATAAAACTAAAGCAATTAAATAAAATATACGGTTTATATGCGAAAATGTTTAAGTCTCATTTTCATTTAAAAATGAATTAACATTTAAGAGTAACTTTTTTGCAGATGCTTTTTACTAATTCTAGTTCTTCGCGCATTTATGATAGCACCCGCTTTAGAAAATAATCTCTCGCATTTCATTTCACAATAACATTAAATAATCCACAATAACTACAAACAGAAATGCATGTTTGGCAAACCTGGACGAAGTATTACTCGAGTTGATTTTGGTACCACCAAAAAATAATTTTTAAAAAATAGGTCGACCTTTCAACGTTTATTACTATTCAAATAACTTTCATCTCATCTCTGACTGGATTTTTATTTGAAAATGGCCAGCTTGCTTAAATGCAAGTGCACATTCTGCTTAAAACGTTTATTATTTTACATTTCAACTGTGAATTGATGTCTTAGACTCTTAGTTCGCTCATAGCTCATATGCAAGTGCATACTCTGCTTGGTTTGCTGGTAATGGGCACCAGTTTGCTGGTAATGGGCATAACTTTCGGCTAAAAACGGTTAAATCGGCTAGGTGTAACTACGGTTTCAGGTTACACGTTTGGAACACTGTTATTTTAGCGGTTACTTTAAGTACCGACCATCCCTAATACATACATACGATTCTCGCAAATGTAGACAATCATTCAAACAAATGTGAGGTTTCAAGACAGTCAAGACCTAAAAAATCCAATGTTTTCCAATTATGGGGAAAGTTTTTCAAATGTTTTACTCTCCCAAAGAAATGTTTTTTTCCTTAAGAACTAATGAATGTTTTAACGCTTTATAAATTATAGTTTTTGTACAACATATTTTAATCGTAAATCTGATGAGGGCGCTGTTGTCTCGCCGAATCGTTATATGAAAATTTTTATTCCACATTTTGACTGAAACCCACGAAAGAAAAAAATATACTTAATAAACCTAAATACTTTTATTTTCAAATAAATCCAGTGTTTTTCTATTTCCAGAAGATTGAATCGGAATCTGAATGTGACGATCTGCTAGAATTTACGCCGGTGACTGTCGAAAAGGAATTAGCGCCGTCCTCGAGTGAAGAATCTGTGGTCAGAAAAATCGTCCCCCAAAATTTTGCCTTAAACATCACATGCCCAAGTGAGGCTATTAAAAAAGAAAACACCGGTTGCACCGATACGGATATAGAACAGCCTCAGGATATTGCGAGAACATCAGAAGAGAAGCCCAATAAAGAAGAGGACGATGAATTTGATTGCTTTGGCAAGTCTGTAGCTTGTCAATTAAAGAAGCTTCCAGAATCAGCGGCTTTGAAATCGATAGCCTACATTCAGTCGTATCTAGTGCAGCAGCGATTGGCACAATTGAGCAGCAAATAAGACTATATTCATTCCCATCTTCAGAGATTTTACACCTTCTTGTGCCTCATCGGGTGGTCAGGATTCTCAAAATCAAACATTTCTAACTGTTAGAGTGAGGGAGGTTTACTGTCACAGACTATGAATGCTTGACTTTATGATTAAATTTAAGAGAACGTGGTTAGTAGTGTTTGAAATATATTACATATTAAGTACGGACTTTTAGCGTTTATCTAGGTAACTTCTGTGTAATATTATGCATTTTTAAGCATTTAGCATGTTTAAGGAGGCAGCGAGCAAAAATCAGGAGCAGAAGTTTTGCGTTACGCTATTTTTGTCGTTGTAGATGCTCCCTATTGGCGAAATTTTGCTGACACATGACGATTGGATACAATGAATCCGAATGCCACTTTCAATTTTAGTGTTGGTGTTAAAACATCTGTCGTGTGCGTAGCCAATTTTATAAACCGTAATAATATAATACGACCGTCACACAATCCTGAAGAATATCAAAATCCTGCTATTTCAACCGAAGATGGTTTCTATAGCTTCCAGAATCTTCTGCTGGAAGTTCACCGTGAGAATCGTGAGTGCAGAAGCACCAGTATTTCACCTCTATATGAAAACAATTAAAGAAAAAGAATGTGTAAAGCTTTTTTCTCAAAAATTTTGTATATATACTCTTTCAATCAACGCTATAAGCAAGGACTGTGGCCGCGGACCCCAACATTGGAATGGCTCGGCGAACTCTAAATATTAAAAAATTGTTCACATTTTACTGCCCTTAAGTGGGCCCCATATTCATTTCAACATCAAGAATGAAGATGCTCGTGCACAATCCATTAGCAATTAAATTGACCCAGGCAAATCAATTCCATAGCAGAACGAAGCATTTTCTGGATGTTACACTGTGTTTTGTGCGGGACGATTATATTACTTAAGCTCATGTGATCAACTGCCGGACATTTTTACAAAACCGCTTACAAAAAGAAAATTTTAAACGTCTGTTTGATGATAGTGTACAGGATTATCCATTTTATGCTTGGGAAAGTAAAGATTTAATAACTGAATAATACGTGAAAAACAATATCATTTAAATGTCCTCCACGGGACCTCCTACAGGCCTCAATCTTTTGAAGGTAATTTTGAATTACTTTTCGGCACATTGCCGGTAATATCTCGGTCATAACTTCACGGATATTGGCTTTTAGTTGCTCAAGAGATTGAGGATTGTTGCCGTAAAAACGATCTTTTGCACACTCCCACAAAAAGAAATCTAACGGTGTTAAGTCGCAGGATCTTGTAGGCCAATGGACATCACTCACTCTTGAAATTAAGCGTCCTAAAAATATGTGTCAGATTTCTGTATAAAAGTATAGAGTAGAAAATAAAAAGGCATATATTTAATAAGTATATTTATTTAATTAGAGAATCTTGTAAATTAATTAAACCACACGCTATTGTAATTAGGTACACCATCAAGAACTTTGATCAAAGTTATGTTAAGGCAAGCATGTGCTTTTACCTTATTAAATTCTCGTAACCGTCTGATCTGATCACCCGTGGATCACCCGTTCAAGGTGAATCCTCAAGCTAGCTATATGTTTCCTTAGCTTCAGGTTTAGAAAGGATACCCATCAAATGATACTCCATATAGTTTTCCATATCATTAGACAGCGGAAAGGAGAATAAATAGTCTATAGGGAATGATAATTGCAAAATTATTAATATAACGTTTATATAATTGATATTTAATCTCAAAAAACATTCTGAATTTCTCTATCAATCTACAGCAAATCCTTACATCAAAGTGGTCTTTACAAAAATTAAGTTTTGTTTTCCTGTTTATATCTGATGGTGGTCGCATTGCGAGCTTTAGCCATTTATCTCACTATTTTCTTGATTAGAACGAAAGCAAACAATTTATTAGATGTTGTTATTGATGTGTTTGTGCATAGAGGACCCGCACAGCACTTGTAAAATTTGGAAGTCATTTTTAACACCCAAAATGTATAATATTTTTTGTTCGGATGAATCAAAAAGTGCCATTTTGCGAACAGAAGCGATGATCAAAAAGAAGCACTTTTCTTTATCGTTAATTTGTTTTCCTTTTACGCACGGACTTTGCCGCACAGTGTGCGACAAAGTAAATGTGACGCTTTGAACTTGCCACTGTCATTATATATTTTTTAGTATTTTTATTTAAAAATAACCGAAATGCTTTTTTAAGGAATTACGTAGGTTTATCAACAACTATTGATCCTATTTTCAAGTTTACTTACAATTTGTAAATTATACCTTTGTTACAAGTTCAGTCTCATAATCGTTTTAATGGCCTACTTATCTACTTTTGCGATGTTGTCACACGTAAAACACGATCTTTTTAAGAAGCGCAAATGTCATGCAGATTATGCAACATGCATACACCATCCCAAGACCACAGGTGTTTCAAGTTGAAAACAATATTTGCGGCATCTCTAACATCTGGCGGTGTACAGGCCATTGGATTTTCAAAACTCATTATATACGCTTACAAAA